GGTCCGATGCTTGGCCCAATGTCTCGATACATTTCAACCAAGCCTTGAAAAATCACCACGGACTTAAACCCGGTTCGATACTTGGCCCAATGCTTCGAACACTGATAGAAGAATTTAAATTAATAAATGACTTGTCAACAAAAAAATTTTAATAAATATAGTTATTAATCGTTGACAAATTATTTTTAACTATCATTTCTTTGTTGCTGAAAAATGTATAAAACTCTCGAAACTGCTCAAAATTATGATCATGTATTTATTTTTTAGTAATAGAAAATTTAATTATTTCGTTAAAATCAAATGAATTAAAAAAAATATATTTCATAACGGTATTATGTCAACAAATTATATTATCTGAACTAAACAAAATTTTTAGCAGTTATAAGTTCAATTTTAATTATGGAATATCATGTAATAAAGCAAAATGACTGAGTGATGTTTAAGTAACTAAAACTAATCTGTTAGTGTTACTACGGAGTGCAGCGAAGTCAGTACAGTTCGAGACTTTCACGCGGGTGACCCAGGTTCGATTCCCATCGTGAGCAAAGATTTTTTCAAGGTAATCTGGTGTAATCGCGAGATACGATAACGTAAAGCTGATAATAAACCGTAAAATCACGAATACAATTAAAATCAAATTTAATTTTTTAATAATGTTTGCATTTTTTTTAGTCCTGGCAAATTAGTTCCCCAAGGCTTGGTCCGAGCCCTGAGCCATTTGTTTCCCAAAACTCGGCCCAAGCCTTGTGTTTTGGTTTCCCAAGGCTTGGGGACATAGTTATCATCCTAGGCTTGGACCGAGCCTTGGCCCAATGTTTAGCCAAGGCTCGTGCCAAGCCTTACCCAAGGCTGGTGACGCTTGGCCCAGGCTTGGTCCAAGCCTTGTCCAGTTGTTCTTTCCTACCTGGGTAGCGGGAAGTTGCAGGGATGGCCTTCAGGGTCAACTGTTTTCCTAATTTTTTTTTATTTTAAACTTAAAACAGCGATTTTAAGATTATTTGTAACCTTTGATTTTTCTTTCAAAATTTTCGAAAAATATTACTTCCCAAGACACGAATTTTAAGCCTAGTCTCGTAAACGGAAAATGAAGGGTTATAATTTTTTTTTTTAATTTTGAAATTAATTTTTTTTTTGTTTGTTTTTTTTTTTTTTTAACTATTTATGTATTATTGTCAGTTTTATGAGATAATATCTGGAAAAATACCATACATTACGATAATTAGCGATGAAAGTCAAAATTTGAATTTCTAGGTTTAATTGTATTTATAACTTTTACAAGGTTTTTTTTTTTATCTTTTTGGGGGTTTAAACATTTTACAAGAATAAGTCTTAATTTAGCTAGAAATCAATTTCATTGTAAGAGATTCATCTGTATTTGGTATAACGCAATGGTACTCTTGTGCGGCTGTGATAGTTTTAGCTTTAGAATAACTTATATTTAAAGTCTCCGTTGCTTTTTCATAATCTGCAGTAGTTGAATATCTTACTCCGACTTTTGTCAAGTTATTTGGTTGCACAGCCCATTGATACAATTCTTGGGGGTTTGATATTTGTTTATTAAATGGTAGTTGAAGACTAGCTCGTGCTGCAGCTCGTTTTAGTGTTCCTCCTACACCGTCACAAGGTCCTTTGCCATGGTAACTGGCAAAGATATGCCATTCAGCATTTAATCTAAAATCTTCTTTGTGATAATATAAATTAACAAAGTTTTTGTAGTTTTTAAATTGTTGCGGAGCTTCATCGGAAAAGTAGTAGACCTTTTTAGCAGTATCGGACAAGGACTTTATAAAATCAGTGACGATTTTGAAAAAGACATTAACTGCAGTCGAGTCATTTATGTTACAGTCCGATATGATCACTAAACTTCTGTGCAATAATTCGTTATTTTTCTTAAATTAAATAACCACTGGAAATATTGTCGACTGATCATTATTCCAGTGAAATCCTGGTACTCCATTTTGGATAACGATTTTGTAGTTCTCGGCAAAATTACAAACTACAAGAAATTCATCGGTTCCAAGAGACTTTTTGAAACATTGCATCAATTTTGCTTGCGATTTTGCAATAAAAGCATGAGTCAAAAGTTCTGTTATTCATTCACAAAATTCATTGATGAATTCTGATGAAACTACCGTTTAATTTTGACTTTGTTGAAATATCTCTTTCAAATATCGTCGATTCTTAAACTCATTTTTTTGTCTTTTTTAAATCATAAATCTGAGTTTTTTGAACATTTTTTTATTTTTTCCCGAAATTTTTATGTTAAAAATAATAACTAATATTATTCTAGTGTGCCAAAAAAAAATTGAATGAAAAACAAATTTGTATTGCTATAAACTAGAAAAAAATAATTAATTTATATAATTGGCACATTAGGATACTATAAGTTATTATTTTTGACATTAAAATTTCGGTAGGAAATCGCCAATAATACATAAATAGTAAAAAAAAAAAAACAAAAAAAAATTAATTTCAAAATTAAAAAAAAATTATAACCCTTCATTTTCCTTTTACGAGACTAGGCTCAAAATTTGAGTCTTGGGGAGTAATATTTTTGAAAATTTTGAAAAAAAAATTGAAGGTTGCAATCAATCTAAAAATCGTTGTTTTAAGTTTAGAATAAAAAAAAAACAATCAAATGCTTCGTAAATAATTTTTTGCATATATTTTTTAGAAAATTCATTAAAAAACACGAATTTTAAAGATAAAAACCCAAATCGGACTATTTTTCACTAAGTTATGGCTATTTGAAAAAAAAATCCCCGAAATCTTTAAAAATTCATATCTCCCGATTGGGTGGATGAAAAAATTTGAAAAAATTCATAAAAACCTTTTTCGAGGAGTGCAAAAAAGTCTCTAAATTTCAGCGAAATCGGAGATGCAAAATCCATTAGTAGGACGTGTTGGTATGGAATGCCCCATATAGAATAAGCGAAAAGGAAATTTAGTATAGACCGGGTAGCTCAAATGGTAGAGTAGCCGACATGTATTTGGAAGGTTCTTGGTTGGAGCCCCAGTCCGAGCTAGCCGAATTTTTTCTCGCATATTCTATAAACTCGCATTAAGAAGGTCTTTTCAAATTCCTTTCTCAATCCCTTCCTCCCAATTATCCTGTTACGTGAACGTGGAACACTTCACGTAATAATTACCGTAACTCCTCTTCTTTCCCGCTTTACAGCATTATATAATTTTAAGATTTAGACCAATTTAATAGTCTAGACCTTACCAGAAAGGCGCTCCATTCTTTCGAGTGGAAATATGAACAAGATTAATCGTAGATAACTTACCAATAGAGGTTTCATTTGAAAATCATTAAAATTGAAAATCATTTACCCATGTTATAAATATGAAGAAAATATCTAAAATTTAAGATATTTTGAGGAAATTGTTCATATTTCCGGAAAAATAAAGTTTTTATTGCTAAAATGACTGACAATAGAGTTTATAAGTTTACTAATAAGATTATCTCGATGGACATGAACTTCATCTAAAACCGAAAGAAACCGTTTTGTAAAGAATTTAATTTCCTACAAGCCTGTTTTCATGATTTTTTTGTCCAAATTTAAATACTGTGACAAATATTTCAAAAAACTATAATTATATCGAAAAATGAACTTCAATTGACCGTCGGTACGGGTTCTTTTTGTTTAAAATCAAAAAGCAAAATTTTTCCCGTAGTTTTTCGTCAAAAGGAAGGATTTTTTTGGGCGTTGAAAAAAATTTAATTTTTAACGACCACCCTAATCTATATATAGTATTCAAATCAAATGCTTTTAAATTATTTCAAATCATTTTAAATTATTTCAAATTAGATTTCTTAATCAGGGTAGTACATTGTAATTTAAACAGAAAGGACATAAGAGAAAAATTTTCAGAGAAAAATGAAAAATAGTCGAAAATATGTAGCTAATGAATAAAAAAATTATAATTATTATGCGCATACGAACAATCGTAACTATTTGTATGAAGAAAACGTATATAGATTGAAAAATAAAGAAATATTTGTAAAACTGTTATTTCAAACCTCAAAAATACATGGAACCACAGTATTCAACTTCTATCCATCTTAATTATTTCATCCGCAATATTAATCATTAAAGTTTTTAAGAATTAATCTATAATATACTTTACACAAAAATAATATTCAATAGAAAGTTTAATCATAATTTAATCTTCCATATAAATTATTAAATATTTTAAGTTGCAGTTTTATTGACTTGCATCGACCTGATTTGATTTCTGCATTTTTGCATAGATATAACACTATTAAATTTCTATAATGTACCACCTAAAAATAATCGCATATATTCATATATTCTATAATGTGTTGACATTCCAATCATTTTAATGATATCTCATAAATAAACCCTACAACAAATGTAATAGTGTAATCGACAAGATTATACTTATTTATCAAAGTAGGATCGTTGATTCACTTTGGCATTGAAAAGTTACAATAAAATGAATTACAATACATAAATTCCAAAACTTGGAGGATTAATAAAAATTTATATTAACATTTTGCTACCCAAACTATTTTCTCAAGAATTTTTAATTATGACGGAGCAACTGAACTAGCCTTACAGACTAGTTTGCGGTTTGCGCAAGCGCGCTAGACTCAATGACTCTAAGGCTTTCAGCTTAGGGATTAATAAAAAAAATGTATATTGATGCTTTTAATTCCATTAAACTCGACTTATCATAGAAAAATCTAAACAAGTTTCAATAAGCTATGCAATAACAAGATATTCATTCAACGTTTCTCTAATGTAATTTACAATTTTATAACACGATCTTTGCCAAAATATTGGAATCGTAAATAACATATCTTTCATAACTTGTGCTTCCAACAAGTGAGCAAGATCCAATCATATAAGATAAAAATTAATTTTTCTATGATACTAGTAATTAATTGGATCAATTTTCAATAAAATGATTGAGCCAGGCCCTAAAGTAGGGTCACAAAAGGCATAAAGAATAATATTCAATTGCCTAAGAGCTCACTGAGCCTGTGCACTTGGGTCACACTGCAATAGTCGCACAATGGATGGGTCACTTTTAGCACCTTCTATGAACTCTTCTAGAGATAACTTTCCGTCTTTATTTTTATCCATTTGACGAAATATTTTGTCAGTTCTCTTTTCTGGAGTAGATTCGTCTTCTGGCATTTTCATTACTGTTCCTACCATTTTATATATTGCCTAGACAATGAAAAATTTATCAATAAATATAAAAAAAATTATTCTATATTAAAATAAAGATTTTACATACAGTAACAATCTCAAGCATTTCTTGTCTAGAAATATAACCGTTTCCATCAAGATCGTACATACTGAAGGCCCACTTTAATTTTTGCTCTAATTTCCCACGCGAAGTCACACTTAGAGCACAAAGAAATTCTCGAAAGTCAATTGTACCATCACCATTCGCATCGAATGTTCGAAAGACATGTTCTGCAAACTAATTAAAAATATTACAATAAAATAGTATGAGATTAAATGACTTAAGATAGTTTCAAAATATAATGAAATTTATTTGTTACCTTAGAAGCATCGCCATAAGGGAAAAAATTGCCATAAATTTTTTTAAACTCTTCTACACTCAGATGTCCGCTAGGACAGTCCTTTAAAAATCCTTTGTACCATTCTTGAATTTCAGCATCTGAAAATACGTTTTTATGAATAATTGATCAAATAATCATCATAATATAACTTATTGATTTACACATTCAATGATAAAATTAATACTTTTTAACTCTAAAGCATGTGAAAAGTAATTTTTTTAGTTTTTAAAAGCTCAGACTCAATTTTTTTCCGGTGTGTGTGCTATTAATTTTTGGTTATATTTTCTCAATTTAATTTTGTTAGTATTTGTATTTAATATTGTAAAATATTAAAAAATTGTAAGATTTATCAAATAAGTTATTTCTTAGAAAACGGCGTTATTACAAATTTCATCTGCATAGTTTTCCAAGCATTCAAGATATATCAGGTACGACATATGGTTTATGCTAAAATCTTTTTTAACTTTCCCCTTTGAAAATCAATGGTTTTCGAACATTAGGAAGTTATTGGTTTCCCCCCAATTTTTGACAATCGAGTTCTCCTTCGATCTCCACATTTCTGAAAAAAAAATCTTGGCTCCCGGAACTCTAGCTTTAAAAACAATAATTTTTATTCAATGTTGAAAATAGGGTTCCGCGCGGCTTTTTTCACATGGCCGCGCCAGTGCTAAATTATGACAGCAGTCGCGCGGAACCCTATTTTCAATATTAAATAAAAATTACTGTTTTTGAAACTAGAATTCTAGGAGTTGAGACTTGTTTCAAAAATTTTCTCCTCCTCAAGGGTCTTTTTCTGATTTTCGATATCACTTGTAGTTATTGAGTTATTTACGAAAAACCCGAGAAAAAATATTTATATATATTTATATATAATTTGGTTATATGTGATTATATATGAAAAATGGCCAAATATAATCATATCTAATCATATATAATTATGTATAATATTATATATAACTATATATAATTATATATAACAATATTTAATTATATATTTATTACATCTAATTAATTATTGGGTTAATTTTATGGATAGAGTAATTAATATGGTCCGGTGACGCGCGTTAATATCCCCGACAAAATATCCCAGCGGTCACCCATCCAACTATTAACCCTGCTTAATGCTGCTTAACTTTGGTGATCTCCGTGCGCCTTGAAGTTTCTGTTTGCTATGCTGCTGTCTTAGATGATAATGATTCTATGTTCTACATAATGTATCATATGAGTTTATCATAAATATAATATAAAAATTAATTTTATAATATATTTGGATAGTCATAATTCATAATTTATTTATTTTATCGAATCTCATTATAATAGAACACTTATTTAAATAATAAAATAAATAATGATTTTACTATTAGGTAATAGCAGAGCAGACCAAAACATCTCATAGGAAATTTAACAAATTTTGTATTTCAGAATTATTTAAACATAATTATAAACATCATTTTACACTTTTTGTGATTATCAAAAAAGAATTTTTTTTCAAAGAAAAAATTTTTATATATTTTAATTATATATAAGCATATATAATTATATATGATTATATATGACCTCATATACAATTCCACATAATCATGTATGATTATATATAATTATCCATAATCATGTATGATTATATACAATTATCCATAATCATGTATGATTATATAAAATTATATATACTTATTAGTTACCAACGCTGAAAGAGGTTATGTGTGTATTTTTTTATCAGCTTCAAGTTCTCAAGTATTCAGTAAAACAGAGTGCTAAAAATACAGTAGATCAAGTTATAATATTATGGAAAAATAATGAAATTCCTACTTGTAGTTATGAAAATTCAGTGAAAAAAATTCTACGATGTCACGATAAATGGTTGAAAATAACAAAAAACCTGAAACGGAAAAAATCACCAGCACAAAAAAAAAGCAATCAACATTTCAGAATGAAATCAAAATTTTATTTGACATTGTTAATCAAAAATCTTTAAAAATGCTCGATGATCGTATTAAAAAATTATACTTAAATCAATAAAGCAATACTAGGAGAGAATTCATTCATAACAATGTACATCCATCGAATACAAGTGGAGATCGGATGGATGTAGAAGAAAGCAGTATCGATCACAAAATTATTATAATACTACGAATAATAATATACAAGTAAATAATTCTTTATTATAAATCTTAATTATTTTTAATTTACTCAGTTAGTTGTTTTTTAGTTTTTCTTTGTATTAATGAAATATGTTTTATATATTACACTGTTCATGATGCGAAGTATTAGGAAAAACTTTACAATGTTAAAGTTTTTATGAGTAATTTTGAATTTTCCAAACTTTTAATTTTTTATTCGCTTAAGAAAAAAATAAAAATATTTTTTTATAGGTCCAAGTCAACCTTCAACATCAAGCCAGACGATAATTGCTAGTGAAAAATCAGAATTATTAATAACAAAATCATTGAGTGAAGCTACAAATTTCGGTTCGGATTTGGAGTATGATCCTTCAATACAAATGAAGCGATCAAAAATTAATATTTTAACTCCAGAGCTGATTTCCGCACTTGACAGAGCTAATGTAAGCAGTAGAAATGCCATGTTTATTATAGCTCCCATTCTGACAAGCGTTGGTATCAATATAGAAGATACAACTCTGAGTTATAGTACAATTCAACGAACTCGTATGATGTTCCGCAAAGACTTAGCTCAAGGATTAAAAAATGATTTTAAAACACACGACAAATACGTCGTGCACTGGGATGGAAAAATACTACAGGACATTACTGGATCTAAATCCGTCGATCGGCTTCCAATCCTCCTTACAGCATTTGGTATTGAACAATTACTTGGAGTCCCAAAAATGGACTCTGGAACTGCAGAGAATCAAACATCGGCTATTTTAAGGACTTTGAATGAATGGAGTCTTACTCGCTATATTAAAGCGATGTGTTTTGACACAACTAATGTTAACACAGGTAATAAATCAATGATGTTTTATTATTAGCAAAATTGTATTGTTATTTTCTCAGTTCAATTTTTCTTAATAAAGCTATTAGCCCACAAAAACTAGTCAATTTTACAATGTCCGGCTAAAATAGCTGAAAACAGCTTATAAAAATTTTATTTCGAAAAATACCCAACCAATTAATTAAGAATTATAAAGCAATTGAAACTTTGGCTTGTTTTTTGGCAACAATGAATTCAAGCAAAATAAACTAGTTTCTGTGGACTAATACTTTTGGATTCAGCAAGAAAGTATTTTGACTTTTTCATTAATTTCTTCTTTAATTTTAAACTACTACAGTTTACTAATTTTAAAGATAACTTTTTACTTTTACTATACAGGTATTCACCATGGAACATGTGTTGAAATTGAAAAAGCTCTGGGAAGAGAATTAATTTACTTACCATGTCGCCATCATATCTATGAAATCATTTTACGAAGTGCGTTTGAAGTGTATTGGCCGGTATCGTCAGGACCAAACGTACCAATATTCGGACGATTTAAAAAAGAATGGGACAAAATAGATAAGACCAAATATAAAGCTGGTATTGAAGATACTATTGTCGCTGATACTCTTTCAAATAAAAAAAATGAAATATCTAGTTTCATTAAAAAATGTTTGCAAGTATGGTTAAGTAAAATTTATAAATATAAGATAAAATTATCAATTCGTTATGTAAATTTGACTGATTTTTTTTTTTGCTAGTTAAAACAACCACGAGATGATTACAAAGAGTTCCTGGAACTGTCACTTGTTTTTCTCGGAGAAATGCCTCAAGATCAAGTTTATTTTAAATACCCTGGTGCAGTACATCATGCGAGATGGATGGCGAAGGCCATTTATTGCTTAAAAATATTCATTTTTAGAAATGAATTTGTACTGACTCCCAAAGAATTGAATAGTCTGCGGCAAATTTGTATTTTTATAGTCATGGTTTATTTAAATGCTTGGTTTTCAACGACTTCTGCGACTACAGCTGCTAACCATGATTTAGAATTTTTAAAAAAACTTATTGAGTACAAAAAAATAAATGCTTCAATATCTTCCGCGACTTGCCACAAAATGACTCTTCATTTGTGGTATTTGAATGATGAACTTGCCATTTTATCATTGTTTGATGAAACCGTTCCACTCGAAATGAAAAAAAAAATTGTCAAAGCTGTAAAAACTCGTGAAGCTATGAATCCTGAAGCTAAAAAATTTATAATTGATCAAAACAACCTAAACTTGATAATGCAGAAAGACTTAAGTGACTTTGTTTCTCAAAAATCTTTGAATCTGTTTAAAATATTTGAATTACCATACGATTTTCTAGATCTTGACATTAAATTGTGGTCTTCTGATAACAGTTACCAAGAAAATCAAGATTATTTTAAACAATTAAAAGTTGTAAATGACGTTGCAGAGCGAGGAGTGGCATTGATAACCGAATACAACCAATGTTTGACTAAAAATGAAGAGCAATTTCAATATTTGTTGCAAGTTGTCAAAGAACATCGAGAAAAATATCCTAATTGCAATAAAAGTCAATTTATATAAATAAAGCCTAAAAAAATGTATTTTCGTAATGTAATTTATATTTTCCTTGATTCTAAGTTGAAATAAATCGATTATATATAATAAATTAGAATTTTTCCTTTTTTATTTATGTGTATAATGATATTTCTAAAATAAGAACCTTTATTTCTCAAAAATAGATTTTAATTTATCTCTAAGTAATAAAAACAGACGTATAATTCTCTTTTTCTAAAAGTAAAGCTTCTTTACATTCATGAAAAAGGTTGAAAAAAGATTAAAAAATTTTAATTCAATTAATATAAGCTAAAATTCTCGTAAAAATTTCAGTCATGAATTTAATAGATAAATTTGAAAAAGTTATTAAAAAATTATTGAAATCAGAAAGCATTGGGGTTCGGATACGAATATCTTTTAAACGGTTGGAGTAATCAATTAAACATATCAGACCTTTTTTGTAGAGCGTTAAATTTCCTACAAAAATATTGCATATTTATTTGACAATTATTATTTTCCAATGTGGTAGGAAATTAATAAAAAAAAATTTTTTTTTGATAAATTCTTTGAACTTTGATCTCGGATATCTTTGAAATGGTCAATGTAATCGCTTATACATATCAGATCTTTTTTGTAGATCATTCAATTTCCTACAAAAATATGTAT